ATTTCTACTAGTTATAAAAATGTTCATTAAAAAATAATAAATGTACCCGGGATCGAGTCCCGCATCGGGCTCCCTGCTCAGCAGGGGGTCTGCTTCTCTCTCTGACCCTCCTCTCTCTCATGCTCTCTCTCTGTCTCTCAATAAAAAAAAAAAAAAACACTTTTATTTCAAGATTTGACATTAATCGCCATCTTTATTTGGCTTCATTTAATAGGTAATTTTGAATTTAATATTTTTAAAGATGAAAAACAATTTTAATGTTCACATATACTCTTATTTACATTGTTATTAAAACATATTCAGATTCTGTATATTTTGAATCTACTTCTATATGTATTTTCAATTCTTTAGATCAATAATGTCTCATCGATTTTCACGTGAGGACAATCCCAGCTCTAGTCTCCAAATCTGTTTTCCCCCCTCCAGTTCATCCTCGCTACTGCTGCCTCAGTGATTATTTCTAAAAGACAAGAGCTGTGCATTTTGCTTCTCTGCTCAGGTTCAATAGGTCCACATGGCCCTTAGCAGAATTTCCTAAGTGGTTTCCCTTGGGAAACTACATCTACAAGACAATAATAATAGATTATATTCATTGAGGGCATACTATGTACAAGTTAGCATTCCAGTTTATCTCCTGTAAATTTATTCACAATCCAATAAGATAGACTCTTTAATAATTCCCATTTTATAGGTTCAAGATTCAGAGCGCTGAGATATAAATAACTTGACCATGGTCACACAGCTACTGAATAGAGGACCAGAATGTGAGCTGGGGGCAGAGGCAGTTTTAACGTATAACTTAATGAAGCTCAGTTTCTCTCTCTCTTTTTTTTTTTTAGCTCATTTGTTTTGTTTCTTAAATCCCAAATATGAGTGAGATCATGTGGTATTTGTGTTTCTCTGACAGACTTATTTTACTTACCATTATGCTTTCTAGCTCCATCCATGTTGTTGCAAATGGCAAGATTTCACTCTTTTTTTATAGCTGAATAATATTCCATTGTAGATATATCCTTCACATCTTCTTTATCCATTCATCTATCGATGGATACTTGGGCTGCTTGCATAATTTGGCTATTGTAAATAATGCTGCAATAAACGTAGGGGTGGGGCACCTGGGTGGCTCAGTCGGTTAAGCATTTGCCTTCGACTCAGATCATGATCCCAGGGTCCTGGGATCGTGTCCCACATTGGGCTCCCTGCTCAGCGGGGAGTCTGCTTCTCCCTCTCCCCATGCCCCTCCCCGCCCCCCACTCATGCTCTCTCTCTCTC